AACTTTAAAGTAATATAATGAACAATTTATTGATTGTTTTAGTTTGTTATAATTAAAATTGAATCTATGATAACATTTTTATATTAACTATACTAGATTATATGCTTATAAGTAAAATAAAATAAAATAAACCTATGCGTAAGGAAGTTACATGTTAAGGTATTGCCGCAAATTCATGAAAATGTGATATATTAGAAGACGAAGGTAAGTATGTGAAAGAAGGAAAAAATGAATTTGAAATCGATCATCAACCAATGTCAATATCAATATGATATACTAAAGGAGGAACCAAACAAATAATACAAAATATATAATCATGGTTGAAATCAAAATCAACCAAATAATACAAAATAAGGAAGTGAATATTTAAAAATGAGTTAGATATCTTATAATACTAGGAGAGTTTATGCAATGTTTAGATTGTCTTTTTTTTTTGTCAACCATCTTTTATAAAAAAAATTATATATCAAAAACTAATATAAAAAATTGCATAAAGTTGACGATAAATCAAAACCATATAATTGATCGAAGTTATAGTTATAAACATAATAGTTATATATCTATAATCTATATTTTCATATCTTTATTTTTATCTATATAAAAGCAAACCATGGATAATCAGGTTACAACTTCTAAACATTATAAATCAATTTTTTTCTCACATTATAAATCAATTTTTTTCTCATATTATTGTTTGCATCCCACATTGGATTAAAGAAGAAAGAGGCATGTGAGAGGCGGATACAAAAAGAAAAGGGCCACAAAATTTCTCAATATTGTTTGCATCCCACATAGGATGATGGACTGAAAGTGGCAAGAATGAGATTACTACAAAAAGAAATGACTAAAAGTGGAAAAAACATATTTTTCTCGGATGTCGACATTTTGCTTAAAATCAAAATGTAGTATATGTTTTAGTTTAACATATCTATCCCGAATCTTAGATTTTTTTAGATCAAGTATATTATATGTTCTTAGTTTGATATCTAATATATGGGTTTTCAACTTGCTTGGTATTTTATTTTTTATATGAAAATGTCCGGTATACTACTTGGTGATGTAGTTATTTATCTGTCGTCTTTGTGTTACTATTATCAAGGTTTGACACACCCTTCTAATTACAATTCAAATATTATAGAATGTTACAATAAAGTATAGTATTTGTTTTTATCAGTTTAATATCTGATATGTGGGTCATCGACCCCACTTGATATTAATTTTATTTTTTTATGAGAAAAAATCCATTATCTTAGCTTAGTGATGTGGTTCTTCATGTATCGCCTTGAACTTTCACTATTGTTGCTACAACTTACGCACTCCTCTAATTTTCATTTGAAATATTATAGAACGTTTCATTTTCATAACTTCAAATGAGATTTCAATTAAATTTGTTACAAAACTAACATCGTGATTTTGTCACCTTATATAAGATTTCAGTTAGAACTATGACTTCTAATTAAACAAACTACTAACATTAGTCAAACATTTGTAGAGTACTTTGTAACACCGTTCTCGAGCATAGTTAGATAACTTAAATTAGCACATGGTTCTAAGATTGTTGTCAACTTCTCTTAAAAACTTTTAATGTAAATAAGTAGTTGCCACACGCATTTGCCTAATTTTTTTTAAAAGTGGACTTCAAATTTTAGTCTATAACATTCCTTTTTGAAGATGGTATTATCACTATCGTGCAACACGCGGTTGGAACACTAGTTTTATATAGAAGTCATTCCTTTGCTAAATGGTTTGTCGCACTGAATCTTCAAGTAGATCGTTACAAAAGTTGAATTAGGTCTTGGTGAGGCATACATAAATGGAGACTTCTCCTTTGTTGATAAAACGAAAGGCCTTTGTTAATATTTATGTAAGTTACATAAAATTACTCATTCTGTCTTATAAATAATATTAAAAATGTGTTAAATGATGTTAATAAAATATTTAATTTAATTATCAATTGTATATTTAAAAAAATTATGAATTAATTAGAATATGTGAGGTTGACACTTTAGTGATTATTTACCACCAAGGAAGCTCGAAAGATCAATGTGCATGTATGAACTGATGAACAAGACAGAACTACAGAATTCTAACGCATGTTGAGGACCTCAAAATGTGTCAAAGAGCCAACGATTGTTTCAAAAATCAGTTAAATTTTTCACAACGTAGGAAGATTTACATTAAAATGACCAATTTGCAAGCAAAGAGAAAAAGACTCTGAGAAGATGGTTTTAGAACCGAAAAAACAACATATTATACTTATATTCTTATTACATAAAGGAAATTCGACCCCAAATCAATAGAGATCACAAGAAACAACTGCTTCATTTATCTTCTCACCGTTCTTGCTTGAATTCTTCTTTCTTTTTTCTTGGACCCATCGTTCCGACCCAGTCCCTTCTCCTCTTCATTCTTGGACCAAGTTGTGCATCCTATAAGTCTTCACAAGTGGCCATCCCAACACCTATTATATACATCATTTGAACAAACTCAACTCTGTTTTAGGGGTCAAAAGGTCGAGGATATAGTTCAAAGTTGTATATTGCTTAGTACCTCCATGGAACATCTCCTACAAACATCCAATCTCCTTTATCTTCATAAGTTAGCACAAACTCAGAAGATCCATCCAAAAGCCGAGAATGTTGTAGCTTTTCTCTACCTGAATCAAGTGAACACAGAGTTCAGATACAATTGAAGATCTGGTTTCATGTTTTTTTAACCCCCATAGGCTTACAGATCAATGATGCTTTTAAGAATATAGTTTCAAGCAACAAAATAAAGCAAGAGTGATGATAGAATCAAGAGATGAATAGAATCAAAAGTACAACTTCCCGTTTGAGAAGTGATGAAATTAACATCTGAAGTCGAACCAAAAACAAAAAACATATTGCAAACAATAATAATTCTAAAAAATAAGAAGCAATTGAGACAAACAAATGCATAAAAATGATCAACACGCCTTTGGAAGCTATGTACTTTACACCTCCATATTATTCACAGTAACATGAGCAAAACCAAAGAGCCTAATTGAAAAACGAACAAAAATATGATCCTAACTGAAGCTAATAAGTTCATAAAGAATATATGAATCAGTCATATGCTATGTTCTTTACCTCTTTACATCTCTAAATTATTCAAATCCGAAAAGTAATCTTCTTCCCCGAAATCAGATCATCCATAAGACTAATCTGCTTGACAATGCTTTCTTAGGCATGAGCTCCTTCAGAATTTGATTATGGCCCTTTAGAAAACAAAACAATCTGGATATAACAAATTAGTATGATCAAGATCAAGATAAAACAACACTTCAATAAGAGCATTAACCCTGCTAATCTTTGAACTTGACCATCCAACCATGATATACTCACGAGAAGTAACCCCTTCCAACTTTCATTGCTCTTTATTGACCTTTTGAACTTGGCTACAAGAATCCATGGGTTAACCGCAAGGGTGGTGCCTGATTGGTTTGAGCTTGGCTCCAAAGGTCAAAAGTACCTGGAGGTCCCAGGTTTAAATCTAAAGAGGAATAAAAATCCCCTTGTGGCCACGAAGGTTCAAGGTAAAAATAAAAAAAACTATAGAATTGTAGAAGTGAAGATTAGAGTAACAAAAAAAAAATGACGATTCAAATCAAGATTTCTCTGGTGGAGTCATTTCTTGTCGCAAATATTCACTAATGCGATGACTTCTGACTATCTACAAAGCAGGTGGTCGCCCTGTGATTAGTCGGCTCGCATAGCGGGTTGGATATCCAGGTTAATCAAAAAAGAAAAGAAAAAAAGAATCCATGGGTTCGGGTTATGGTAACTTTCTTTTTACAGCTTGCAAGAAAAAGAAACCAAGTACAAAGACTTTATGTACAACTCTTGCAAAGCCTAGTAGTATTAATGTATTGGATCACCTTATTTTTCTTAATTTTACATGTAAGTTTCTACAGATAATTATGAAATTGCAAATTTATTGAAAACTGGAATAGATTAGAAGCTTCTGGTTTTAGAATTATTACATAAAATAGTAAAAATATGTAGTTCATTTTCCACTGAAACTACAAATCTTAATGAAACTAGTAAGAGGTAAAATGCAACCTCTGAATGTAAAAGGAAGAAGAGTGGACCATTTATGTCAAAAGACACGGTCCTTCTCCATGGTGTACGAAACCAACTTCGAGCGTCTTGTCATCTTCAGTTTTTATGCTTTCACGTCAGATTTATATTATATGGTGGACCATTTCGTATTTGTTTATAAAAAGTAGGATTGGTTGTTATCTATACTATATTATAAAACATTTGATAAAAACTCTTAAAAATTATTTTTTATGCAAGAAGTATTGTTTATTGATTCATATTACTTAAAATTCAAGATTACACGTAATTTTGCATAAATACAACTTATTAAAACTCCATTTTTAAATTCGTGTAACTAACTGCAGATAAACATGATCAAATACAGAATAAACATTCATTTTGAATATAGAAAGTCTAAATTATAATTAAGATACTCATTTAATTCTAACAGAACATTTAATTATTATCTTTATAAAAAATTATATTATTGAACCAAAAATAAATTACTTTGTTATTAAAATCTAAATTAACATATAATAAAAAATTGAATTAAAGAAGTTACACCAAAAAAACAAAAAACTATTAAATAGTTAATTTGATGCTAATATTGATTTATTTTTTTCAAAATTTTATGTTATTTTCAAATTTATATTTCATTAAAAAATAAAAACACTATCATTTTTTTCAAAACCACATAAAATCTATTATATCAATAGGGACAAAATAAAAACTAAACATTAAAATAAATATTTATCTCGCTATATTATACGAGTAATCTTCTGGTTTTTATAAAAAGATGTATTTTAAAGCTATTTTTATAGTTTTTTTTTTCTTTCGCAAAATAAAATTCGGTTTATTAATTTGCAAATTCTTCGAGTATTTAAGTTGAGGTGAGAACCATAAATGACCCATCGGGAGCATTCCAGACCCGAAGACAACCCGACACCACAAAGAAAACCTCCCCCCTTCTTTCAAGCTTCAACGTCAAGCACGCAGTTTCGTCAGTCTGCAGTGCTAGAAGAGTGAAACCATGGTGAATAAGAAGGTGGGGATACCTATGAAGCCAGCGGCGAAGGAGCTGAAGAGCCGGCGGCAGAGTAACGTCGAGCGTTCTTCATTATTCGCCCGCCGCGAGGCTGCTAAGGTCTTGAGGAGCGTATTACATGGAGACACTCAGCGTAGAGCCGTTGGCTCCATCAAAACCCTCGTTTACAGTCCTTCCATCAGGAACAAGAAAGCTACATTTGCTTTAGTCTGTCAAACCTTAAAATGTGAGTTTCAGTGTGCTATCTTCTTTTTAGCTCTTATACTTGACTATGAATGTCTTTTTATACTATTTTCTTAAACTTGTTTCAGCTGTGAACCCAAAATGGTTTTCCTTGCTTTATTCAACACAACTAAGGCTCCTTAAATAGAGTTTACAAGACAAAACATAAAGCATAAAAATAGCCCATGATAAACAATTGTGAACAGGAAAAACTGCTAGTTCCTAAAGACCAGCACATATTTGACTTATTCAAACAATGAGCAACAATTAAAAAGGATCTTATCATACCCTCCCTTAAACTTACTGCAGAGTGCAGTTAGTTTACATCACTCATGTCAACCATCCCCATCTTCTTTCTTAGCTTCTGAAAAGCTTCCAACTTCAAGGCTTTAGTCATCAAGTTTGCAATCTGCTGCTGGGTTTTGACAATACACTAAGCTGATTTCCTTTCTTTTGCTAGCTCTCTCAGAAAGTGAAAATGTATCCTGATAGCTTGCACCTCCCATGTACCACTAGATTTTTGGATGATTCAATTGTAGAAGTATTATCACATATGATAGTAGTACCACCCTCTTGACCATGATCCAAATTTTTCAACACTTGTCTCATCCACACAGCTTGACAGGCACTTGCAGCAGCAGCTATGAACTCTGCTTCAGTAGTAGAAAGGTTCACAATTGGTTGCTTCTTGGACATCCATGAGACAACTCCAGAACTCAACATTAAAACATATCCAGAAGTACTCCTAGAATCATCTTCATCTCCTGCATAATCTGAGTCTGCGAAGGCTACTAACTCATTGTCTCCTCCCTGCTTATAGAGGATTCCATAACCCACAGTTCCTCTTAAGTACCTCAATATTTTTGCAGCTTGTAAATGCAGCTCAGTAGGCTTTGACATATATCTCCTAATCAAACTTACGCTGTACATGATGTCTGGTCTAGTGGCGGTGAGGTACATTAAACTTCCGACAATTTGTTTGTAGTGTGTATCATCCACTTCTATCCCACCAACATCTTTGCTGATTTTGAACCTGGAACGATAGGACTTTTCACAGGTTTGCTTTCTGACATTGCAAATTTCTTTAGTATATCAGTGGCATACTTTCTTTGACAAATAAAGATTTCTCCAAGCTTTTGCAACACTTCTACCCCAAGAAAGAATCTCATCTTCCCCAAGTCTGTCATGTCAAAGGCTTGCATCATGGAGCTCTTGAATGCCACCATCATTCCCTTGTCATTGCATGTATAGATTAAATCGTCAACGTAAATACTAACAACCAATATTTTACCTCCTATGCCCTTCTTAATGAACAAGGTTTGTTCATTTGGGCATCTTTGAAATCTTCCCGTATGAAATGTCCTTCTATGCGGCTGAACCAAGCCCTCGGTGCTTGTCTTAGCCCGTACAATGCTTTATTCAAATTGTAGGCCTTGTGTTCTTTCCCTTTCTTCACATACCTCATTGGTTGCTCAATGTGTACATCTTCATCCCATTCTCTATGGAGAAACGTAGATTTAATGTCCATCTGAAAGATGTTCCATCCTTTGAATGCTGCAAGTGTCACTATCATCCTTACTGTATCCATGTGAGCAACAGGGGCAAACACTTCTGTGAAATGGATTCCCTGTTGTTGCGAGTACCCCTTGGCAACCAACCTGGCCTTGTATTTGTCAACTTCACCAAGTTCGTTCAACTTTGTTTTGTAGATCCACTTCACATCGATTGTTCTTGCATTAATAGGCAGATCTGTGAGCTCCCAAGTTTAATTTTTTTCGATTGAACTTATTTCACTATCCATCGCTTTCCTCCATTTTTCATGTTGTACGACCTCCTCGAATGAAGTTGGATCATCATTGATAACATCTTGTATCATGTAAGCCTCTGCTTCCTCGTCACTCATTTCTTCTCCACTAATAAAATCTCTCATCCATGTTGGCTGCCTCCTTTGTCTCCCTTGTGTTCCAGGAACTTGTGAGCTGCTCTCACCATTTCCAACTTCACCATTACCCTCATTATTAGTTTGAGAGCTGCCCTCACTGTTTTCTACAAACTCCATATCACTATCCTCATTGTGTTCATCACTGTTTTCTACAAACTCCATATTAATCCATATCACTATCTTCCCATATTAAATCTTTCTTTATTTGTTCTTCATAATCTAAACCTTAATCCCAAGAATGTCGTTCATCAATACAACATCCTTACTTACCACTATTTTATTTGTCTTGGGATTAAATAATCTATCCCTTAGATTCATCACTAACCCCCAATAATACACACGGAAAGCTTTTGTCATCTAACTTACTTCGTTTAGCATCTGGAATATGAGCGTGAGCCACACATCCCCATATTCTGAAGTGGGCAACAAAAGGCTTTACTCCCGACCATGCTTCTTGTGGAGTCTTGTTCATTACAGCAAGCGTAGGGAATCAATTTAGTAGATAGACATCCCACATAACAGCTTCCGTCCAAAATGGCTTTGGCATCTTCATTGCAACCATCATACAACGCACCATGTTCATCATGGTTCTGTTCTTTCTCTCCGCAATCCCGTTTTGGTGAGGGGTGTATGCAGTGGTAAGTTGACGCATGATGGCATGTTTCTCACAGAAAGTCTTGAAGTCCAGGGATGTGAATTCTCCTCCTCGGTCTCTCCTCAAGCATTTGATCGACCCTCCGATCTTTTCCATCATTTGTTTGAACTTCTTAGAAACACTCTAAAGCTTCGGACTTTGCAACTAACAAGTATGCCCAACTCTTTCGGCTAAAGACATCAATGAGACAAAAAATATACCTTTTTCCACTATTAGATGCAGGATCGATCGAACAACAAATATCCGCATGGATGAGTTTCAACAGCTTCTTTGCTCTTCATTCGCTACTTTTTGGAACAACATTGCGGTGTTGCTTGCCTTTGAGGCAATTCGTGCAGGTAACTTTAGTGACTTCAAGTTGTGGCAGACCTCTCATCGTCTTTTTGGTTGTTAGAGTTCTCAACCCCTAGACAATTCGTGCAGGTAACTTTAGTGACTTCAAGTTGTGGCATACCTCTCACCGTCCTTTTGATTGTTAGAGTTCTCAACCCCTTGTATCTCAGATGTCCATATCTTTGATGCCAAAGAGACGTGGGATCTGAAACACTACTGTGGAGACATGTTTCAACCTGTTGAATTGGGTTAGTCATCTTTTCATTCAACAAAACAAACATCCGGTTCGTACTCATTTTAGCACAAGCAAGTAAACCTTTTTCTGCATGATATATGTTGCACGCTTTATTCTGCATGTTACAGAAATTCCCTTCTCTTGCAGCTGACCAACACTTAACATATTGTTGTTGAGTTCAAGAGCATAGTATACATCACTCGCCACAAAATTCCGACCATTAAACACCAATCTTACACTGCCTCTTCCAACTACATTCATTCTACTGTCATTCCCACATTTGGCTTAATGCTTAAACTCGGTTACCAGATTAGTGAACATACCTTTATCACCACACATGTGGTTCGAGCAGCCGGAATCAATAAACCAGGCATCCTTCTTCCTTGGCCCATGATCTTCAATATATGCCATCGGCAAAACATCATCTTATTGATCAAGTTCCGCATAATTTGCCTCGTTGCTCCATGCCGGACATTCATATTGAAAATGCCCACGACCGTGACATTTATCGCACTCCACATCTGTCTTGTTGAAGTATGCTCTTCCCCTTCCTCGACCTCTTCCTCTTGGAGAAAATCGGCCCCACAATCCGTTCGACATACAATAATGTGTTGAACTACTTCAACAAGTCTGCGCGGGATAGCATTTCTCTCCTGCATGTCCATGGAGTTTTGAAAAATCCAAAACATCAATAAACGTTGGTTACATTTCTTTATGTTATTTTGCCTCTGGTTCCAAACTTTTCCTACACCTTCAAAACATGATTCTCTCCTTCATATGCCCTACAAAATTTCTGCTCATGGACCATCACCGAACTTTGGAGTTCATCGACATACATCTTGGTTGTGTCTTTCGGTTCTTCAATTGAAACAACCACATACGTGAATTTCTCTGTTAGGGTTCGCAAGTTTTTCTGCACAATCTTGGAATCTGGCATCTCCTCTCCGTTGCTCCTCATTTTTATTCGACACCGCCATTACCCTAGCGAAATACTCCGAGATGGTTTCATTGCTTTTCATCCGAGTATATCGAACTGTCTCCTAAGCGTATTCAGAAGAGACCTTTTCACACTCTCACTACCGCCAAATTTGCGCTTCATTGAATCCCACACAATCTTTGCCGTTCGGTGATCCAAAATCTGCTCGGAGACATTACGATCGATTGCTTGGAACATGTAATGCTTTACTAGATAATCAAGTGTTCTCTTCTCCTCAATCAGCCTTTTCTGAGCCGCACTCAACTCTATTCCCGGTGGTGGTTCTTGAAATCCTTCAGCGATCAAACTCCAAAGTCCCTTGGTTCTCAACAAGTTCTCCATAAGCTCACTCTAGTGATCATAGTGACCATCAAAGGTTGGAATTTTGGTGAGGGATTTGTCGTCACTCATCTTGCCTTGCAGATGAACCACTCACTAGAAGTTGTTGTTTTAGACTTTTCTATCAAGGACCCTGTATGGCTCTGATACCAAATGTTAAAAGACAGAAATGAAACAAGTAAGCTGTGAACCCAAAAATGGTTTTCCTTGCTTTTTCAACACAACTAAGGCTCCTGAAATAGAGTTTATAAGACATAACAGAAAGCATAAAAATAGCCCACGATAAACAATTGTGAACTGGAAAAACGGCTAGTTCCTAAGGACCAACACCTATTTGACTTATTCAAACAATAAGCAACAACTAAAAAGGACCTTTATCAGTTTTCTCGCATCAGTGGTTGTCATTTGTATGCATATAGTTGAAAAGGAAATACTATTTTTTGTCTTATTATGATGGAGGCAAGCCTGAACAAATAAGCAATAAGAAAAATATGGGCAAGTCACTTGGGTTGTAATTCATATCATACTTGATACTCCAAAAGTCAAACTAGTAAGCGTGCAACGGCATGTACAAGTTGGATTTATAGAGAAAGATAGTTCTTTAACCTTTTCTTGATGTGTAATGTAACATAGTAATAATATTTTTCAATTGCGAGTGTTGGAAACTACATATACCTACCCATCCACGTTTTAATACTTTTAAGTGTTTATTTGATGTATGTATATGATTGAGTGATAATCTTAAATACAAAAATAGAGGATAAGGTATGTGTGGTCAAGAAACCAAACATAAAAAGGCTCATCCATGGTGAGTTTACACTTGTGTCAACAAAGTAGGCTAATTATGTAAAGCATAAATGTATGGTACAATTTTGATGAAGATGGGGAGTTGTACTTTGGACGATCAAGGATTGGAAAATTGCATAATAGTGGAAATAGTAAGAAAAACCAGGTGTATGAACCTTTTAAACCTAACTCCGTTAGATGGTTACTTCATTGATGAAATTTGTTGTTTGGTTCCGATATATAAGGTTTGAACTTAGAGTTATATGCACTAAGGATTGGAGAAGGATATTAATTTTGGTCGTAGAATAGTTTTTATCAACTAGAACAATATAAACTACCATCATTTCACAAATGTTTGATCACTAACGATAAATATGATTGTGAACCACAAGGGTGGTGCCTGATTGGTTTGAGCTCCAAAGGTCAAAAGTACCGGGAGGTCACAGGTTCAAATCCAAGGAGGAATAAAAATCCCCTTGTGGCCACGGAGGTTCAAATGCGGTGACCCCGGGCTATCTGCAAAGCAGGTGGTCGCCTTGAGGCTAGTCGGCTCGCATAGCGGGTTGGATATTCAGGTTAATAAAAAAAATGATTATGGGATTCGTCTATATTCGTTAGATGGGAAAACGAATGGCCAAGTACAACAACTAGCCAATGTATGCCAGGTTCAAGAGTTTATTTTTCCATTGCTTGGCTGGATAGGTTGGATTTTGTGGCCATGATATGGGTCACTCTAGTGCTAAGATATTTTTGCTTAATATCCGTACACAACCGTTGCTAGCTTTGGGGTTGGTGTTTACATATAGAATCTTGTAACCAGAATTAATATGATAGTTTATAGAATTGAGAGGAAAMMWKGSMAARRRGRWKGRWTTT